GGTTAGATATTTTTCCCACCACAAGCCACCCAAGCAATGTATTCTGTAGGATGGGGAGACCTCTGCCAAGGTTTATTTGGCCGATGGACAATAGTTGATGAGAAAACTCAGCTCCAAGTAGGAGATCAATTTTGTTTGGGGTATTGAACGACGGATCTGCCAGATTGATGTTCTGTGGTATTTTCCAGCTTGAGCTTTCAATATGAATGCTCGGCTGGTCACACACAATCTTAGGTAATACATAAGCCTCTATTCGGCTGCTAAATCCGTTAATTCTGGACGAGAAAGCTAAATTGATTCGTTGTTGCGCATCTTGTTTTTTTTGCCCCACACCTTCTATACATGCTGAGGTCTTTTTCGGGTTTTCACCTAACTTCTTAATTATTTGATCGGTTATCAGGTTGACTTGGGAGCCGGAATCCAATAATGCTCTGCACTCAATTTCTCTTCCATTGTTGCCTTTAACGACAACACGTGCAGTTCCTAATACCACATAATTTTTTTGGATGTTGAGATTGTTGGAGAACAGAGAAGCAGGATTTTTTGATAATGATGCCTTCTTAATCATGGATGCTTCAAGTGTGCCTTCTAAATGCAGCAAGGTGTTGTGTTTCTTGCTGCATTTTAAGCAACTGCCTGATGTGCAGTCTTTTGTGAAGTGACCATTTTTTAGACAATTGAAACATCGTTGCAATGATTTTATGAGATGTAGCCTCTTAGCTGGGGTGTCATCCAGGAACTGCTTGCATAGATTAATTGGATGATTATCTCTCTTGCATATTGGACATTTAGCTGGTGCAGTGTTAGTTGTAGCCACTGTCTTAACCCATATTTTTATTGATGCGCTATTATTTATTGTTTCTAGCGATTGGAACCTTTGTTCAATAAATTGAAATAGTTCCTTCATAGTGATCAGCTCTCGATTGTTTGATAATGACTGCTCAAATGCTGTTTGTGTGATCTTGTCTAATTTCTTCAACGTCATATGAACAATTATGACGTCCCAATGTTCGACTGGAATGTTCTGCGCCTTAAGTCCCAATAAACACTCTTGTGAAATGTCATGCAATGTTTTAAGGCCAGAAGCGGTTTCAGTTGTCATTGCTGGTAATGCGAATAATTTGTTTAACAATGCGGTAACTAATAATCTACCATTATTGTATCTAGCCTTCAGAATCTCCCATGCGGTAATGTAGTTCTCAGCTGATGCTGGCAAATGCTTTATCAGGTTTTTGGGCTCACCAATCAAGTTAGTTGTTAAGTAGAACATCTTTTGGATAGGTTTGAATGGTTGTTCGTCTATAAGTTGTGTAAACAGGTCTCGAAACTCTACCCACTTCAGCTGGTTTCCGTCAAATATTGGAATTGTTAACTGTGGTAATTTTACTGCCTGAATTGTTGGATTGTGCTGGTAGTGAGAATTGGATGATTTTAGCTTGAGTTTCAAACAAATCTCCATGTCTTGGAGTTTTTGACTAATTTCATAATACAATTCCCAGGAGTACCCTTCAATGAATTCTTCTGATGTAGAATTCCATATTTTTTCATTGTTGTTATCGAATGCTTTGTGATAACCTTCTATCAAAGCAAGCTTGCAAGAATAAAAAACTTCATTTTGAGATTCTTGGCTTGCCATTTCAATTTCTTGACTGGATCTGTCAATGACATTTATGAGTGCTCGTTGATTACGCAACACTCTTGATAATTCTTCATTTTGTTGAAGCTGCATTGGATTTTGATTGTGTTGCCTTGGCGGCTTTTTCTGAGCATTTTCTACCTCTTGCATTTCGATTAATGCCTTGTTAAAAATACCCAAGTATTTGTTTGTCAATTCAGTCATTTTTTCATAGTAGCCCGTGGTGAAATACTCGTCTTCTGTATCTTCAGCCATAGCTTTACAAGATAATAACGTGTTGTGGTTCTTCTCTAACCTTGACCATTGTTCAGTTAATCGTAGAATTCTATCCTGATAATAGCGATTCGTCTTCCTTGAGGCTGGATCCTTCTTGAAGTTGCTGATTATCCTCTCGATCTCAGCTCCTATAGCTTGTTGTTGATCAATAAGTGTGTTGAAATGCTCCATGATAATACCGTTCCTATTTATTGTCCTTATAGGAATATCACGTCGGGGTCACCAAAATATGTTGAGAATGCTTTTATTCTCAAGGTTCTATCAATTTGTATTTGTATACCGGAATTCCACCAAGCACATGTAACTTGTTGGACGGTATATTTGTATACCTTTTATATTCTTGAAGATACCACCGAGCACATAAACCCGTTGGTAATTTTATGAAAAGAAGATAAGTTCTATTCAAATTTGTATCATCGAATACGCTTTATTAAAAGAATTGATTTGTTTATATACATTTTTTCTTATAATAATTACTTACTAAAACTTATTACGTACAATAATTTACTGACCCAATTTAAAACAATAATTAATATCAAGCAAAAAATATTACTTATAATGACACATAAAATATTCAGCAAAACAATAAATAATTAATAGCAAGCAAATTACATAACATATTTAGCAAACAATGAATAATAAATTATTTAAAATGTGTTCTTGCCCTAGTTATAAAATAAACACTAATCAGCAAAAATATAACCTATTAATATATTACGATTACGTTAAATGCATTTTATCATGGGTCAGCAAAAGACAAAATAAATGTAATACTTAACAATAAGTTTTTGACACAATCTTACACATTGCAGTTCAAACCACATTCCACACAAAACCCATTAATCAAAATTACGATTAAATTTTAAATTGTAAAAAGCCAAGTTGAAAAAAAAATAGGGCTATATTACACAAACAGTCATCTGACGCATGATCACTTGAAATTTATGTCCTTTTTGGTCCTGTCAAAAAGTCATATAACAGTTGTCAGTTTCCTACTTTTCTAGTATTTTGGTACATGTTTTTTTTTTGTACCTAAATTAGAAAGATATTTACTTTGGTACGCATAGGTCCATACAAATGTCATATCCATATAGAAATCTGTATACTTACCACTTATAATCACAAATTCTGACATTCATAATTGAGCAACACTGGTTTGACTTGCGGGATAGGGCACACAAAGCTTCGTCACCGTGATCAAATTAAATTGAAATTTTTCTCTTTCTCTTATTCTCTCAATTTTTAAATTTATTTTGAAAACAAAAACAATTTCAAACTTAACGTGACCATCACTGCCAGCATAAGGGTCATGTTATGTAAAGTGTTATGGGCACGTCAAAATTTTGTCTTTCGGACTTTATTTTACTATTGTTTTTGTATTTTTTGTTTTGCCTAAATTTCAAAGGAAATATATATATACATTTATACACACATCACGAGTTTGACTCTCATTTTGTTTTTTTTGAATTGAATTGAGAGTAACAACAATTTTGATAGTGACGTGCCCGAGACACTCTATATAACATAGTCACGACACAGCAGTTATTGTTGCTTTCAACGTAAATGAAAATATGACACTTCATTTTGGATTTGAAAGTAACAATAATTGGTGACTGAGACTGCAATCATAACATGCAATTTACATGGTCCTTAGCTTTTCATAATAGTTTTATTATGTAGCGTTATAAATAAATTTATTTAAAGTAATTTCTATAGGCCTTTTCTATTGTAAGCATATCACAAAAGAACAACTGCTTATTTTAAAAATAACATATGAAACAACAACACTGCTGGCGTATTTAATCCAACCTTTTTGAAATCGCTTATCTAATAAGCAGCTCGTATGTTTGTCAAGACTAAAAAGTCGTCTATTGTGAACGGATTTTAGAAGTACATATGAAATTTTCAGTTAACTGTGAACGAATGGTTTTGTTAATTATACGTAGTTTGTGTCGTCATTGTTCATATTATTTTACTGTTAAAAGGCATAAAAAATTATGCTTTATTCACAATCAAGTAAAAAAAAATATTCTCAACAATAATTGCAAAAAATTATTATACATTTTCGAAATTTAAACTATAAAGTTTATTATGTGGTTTGCACATTTAAGCTGAACAAAGTCTGCATTTTGTTCAGAGTTGCCATCGAAAGTAGTGCTTATTTCTTTTTGTTCTTTTGAGACATGCTTACATAAGAAGAGGCTTAATGTTTTTAATGTGAATTTAATATTAGTGCGTTTCACTATTGTGCATTCACATTTCCTTACATTTTCTTATTGTGAATTACTTATTTCGTTTTCAAAATGTGTGACTTGTGACATTTATTACTGAGCAACACTGTTTTAATTAAAGTGACAAATCTTCGAAGCAATTTTCGTGTCATTTAAATTTTTAAAGCGTCGTGTTTTATTCGTTAAAAATTTCTTAGCACTTCGAGTTTACTATTATTTCACTGTGAAATTAAATTATATAACTGTTTATTATATAAATCAACATACTTTTTCTAAAAGTGAATTTTTAGCCAACGTCCTACAGAAAATATTTGCTTTTTCTGTGGCATATAACGTGTTAAAAATCATAAAGCCATTACTTAGTGCTACATACATTTAAGTGATAGCGCGAAAGTTCCTATAATTCTGTTCTTCATTAAAATTGTCAGAAATCGAAGTCAGGAGCAGAAATCGAAGTCTTCTATAAAGGTAAGATTGAATGTACAAAACATTTCAATGAAATTTTTTAATCAGCTCGTTTTCTAACATAAAAATACCCATGCTATGGGAAAAATTTTTAAAAAATATTTTTTAAGAGATATAGACCTATGTGGGTTTTGAGAATTTGTGTTTTAAAAAAATGTTTAAATGGCCATATCTTAGGCTTTGCAAATGATATAGGATTAATGCTTGAATCTAGGCTGGTTTTACTATTGTCCACGGATGCTTCTCGCACTGCATAAATGTTTTCTGGTACAACATTCGTTCGTGGACAATCTACACGAAATTCGTCGTGGAACCACGTAGTCAACAACCACGCTCGAACTGATTGAACCAGCGTTTTACAGTCGCTGGATGTGGTGTTTCATCACCAAGTGTCGAATTAAGTTGTCAATGCATTCTCTTTTGGTTTGATCCACGTCGAAAATCATTAAATATCATCACACGAATTTATTTCTTGTCACACTTCGGAGCGGCCGAATACACCTATTATAAAAACAGAGCTCTAGTGATATTCGGCTAATGTTGCATCAAGAGATGACATTTAAAAACCAAGTTCATATATTTTATTATCATGCAAAGATATGGATGCTTGTCGAGGAATAGAGCCGATGTGACTTTAATGAATAGGAGAACATTGCTTCACTAGTTTGGAAGTGATAATAGAGTTGTATTTATAGGCTATAGCGTATTTCTCTTACGTCTTTAAGAGTTCCTTTAGCTTTGAGTATCAAAAGAAAGAAATTAAAAGATCAAAAGTAATTCGTGAAGCTTGTCGACTCCTGGAATTGTGAAGAAGTAAATTGAATGGAACAGAAACATTCGAAAACAAAGTCCGGACTACAAAAATGCAGTCTTGTCACCTCAATGTTAGTACTAGCTAGTTAAATAAATAATTTATTTTTTCATTTTTGCTAATAAAATATATCAGAAGAATATATGCAGTTGATTGGTTGGAATAGGTAAGTGCTGATTTAAATTTTTATCAATGTATTTTTCACCAATTATTCCGTTCAGATCGATTAATCCGTTTGAAAACATGGCATTTATGATTTTTATAATGGGTTTATATAAACAAATTGAATTAAAAAAATTTCCATCAGATATTTACATTTCTGACAACCGTTCACTCATTAAAATACGTGTATAAAACATTGAATTAAAAAGTTCAAGTGAAAAGCAAACTTAATTATTGCGTCGGTTCCGAGGATGCATTCATGTTATGTTCATTTCAATGCATTGAGCCATGCACTGAGCTCACCTCTTTCGTTTTCGATGCATTTTAGTTTGGCTGTAGGCTTTGTGACTTTATAATCAGTATTCAGTATGGCTTTATTTTGTTCTCACACATTGTTGACGTTCCTCTACTAGGAATCATTTCAACCAATTTTGGTTAAAAATCTTCCAAAGCTCTGTGTGCTTTAATGGGTTGCCAAACTATTAAGCATGCATAATTGAATCAACACTCAACAGTATATGACAATGCCACCGACATATATATTGCAAGTTAAATTGTTTTTTTTTTTTCTTTAATATAGAAATTGAAAAAACAATATTTAATCATATTTTAATGACATCAAATATAGTTATATTAAGAGCGATGAAAAAGCTGGGATTACAGATCTCTCTTGATGCCAGTAATTGTGAAAAATTTCTGCCCATAATTATTTTAAACACACAATAATGTATGTACAGACTTCGTTTCACTAACTCCACTCGATACCATTTTCAGTGACATTATGTGCATATAGGTAACTAAGTCATTCCCAATGCATCCATAAAAAGTCACTATACGATATGACATCTAGTGTGAAGATGTGATAGCTTCGTACTCTTCTGATATAAACTGTTACTTTTGATCACTGAAACTATTGTTTAAAAATTTGCTTTTGGCATCAATTTGAAGGTATGTATGTTGATCCTTTTTTCGAGTCAGCGCAACTGGGCACTTTTACTCTTTGATAGCTGGGGGTACTACAGGGTCCCACACATCTCATTGACTCATTTATGTATTCCTTATAGGCTTCATGATTATTCAGTGATTGATCTAAGATCTGCGTATCTCCCCGTTCGGAGAGTGATTACTCTAAGATTAGATAGTATGGACAAGAAAGAAAAATGCTTTGAAGAGGACTTTACACATCACGTCTTTTTTTGTTTTTATTGGGCGAGAATTTGCTAATAAGTGTAGTGTAGGTGATGTGAATTGGTCACTAGGATTGTGAGATCGGTCAACAGTGAACTTTTCTTGTGATAGAACACAAAAACTCTCGACACTTGGAAAACGTGGTGACAAACTTTCGTCACTTTATGACAAAACTATAGTCAGCTATATGCCCACGAATGGAAAATGACCTTTAAAGAAATGAGTATGGTTCCCTGTTACTAGTGTAAATCGAAATTTTGATTTTTAATATACTATATAGTTAAGCAGGCAAAGATTTTTTTTTTTGATTTGAAATCATTATGGGTTTTAAAAATTTCTTTTATCTGGCAATTCTTTTTCGTTTTACATCGTTTGGCAGATAAGTAAAATTAGATTATAAGTAAAATTTTCTTTGAACTTAGTGCATTGTGTTAAAGTTGATTTTAAAGCAAAGGTTAGTGAAATTTTTGTGTAAATTTGTTGAGTTTCAAAATTTTTTTTAAAACGAAAAAGAAGTTGTGTTGTGTTGTACTGATATAAAAATTCAGGTGAGAAAAATTCTCCTTTTTCTGCTATATTATTATCGAATGTGTGATTTTAAAGACAAATTTTAAAGGCAAAATTTTAAAATGTTTGAGTCATATGCCATTGCTACAAAATAAAATAAAATAAATATTTGCATAAAATTATAAAATTGAGTAAATTTTTAAATTAAAGTCACAAATATATTTTTTTTTAAATAAAATACGGTCTTTTTGGCAAACTTTCTGTTATTGGCTGCGACTCCATAGTGCCTTCAGCAACCCCACTTTTTAGGGGGATGCTTGAAGTCATTTAAGTCAATGACTTGAAATCATTTTAAAGTATAATTTTTAGTTATACATTCTCTTATTTTCTTTTTTCACTTTTTTTTTCATAGCTATACAGAACTATGTTACGCAGCTTTATAATCAACTCTCTGACTGTCTAAAAATTAGTCGCTTTTCTTATAATTTATAATAGCATTTAGCAGTTAAAACCAAATATAGAATATAAATTATGTTTATTTTGTATATTATACGTATATTAAGAATTTAAACACAATCGAATTCCAATAATTCGAAATCGAAGAGGAGCAGCATTTTTTACGAATTATAGGGGTTTTCGGATTGACAAGGTTTCGATTCAACGAGGTTTCTATTTAACAAAGCTAAAAACAAAGAAAATACGAATTAATGTGGTTATTATATTTCATTTGATTTTCACAAATTCTATATACATATATAATATATATCCTACTTTAAAAAAGTTTGTTTGTAATTGTTGATTGCTTTAGATTCTTTTAACCTAACTCTTCAATTGATTCTTCCAAACTTAATAAACATAATAGACATAATGATTTGAATGACCAATTTGGCTTTTTTATTCGTTATAAATTGTTCCTCACCTATCACGCTATCATCCACATTGCGCTTATTATTAATAGCCGCAACTTCTTCCTAAATATTGTTATCTATAAACACACTATATACAGTCACGTCATTAACAATGTTCACGTAATTATTGAAAAGGGTGGGATTTACAAAGTTTTCACATATACCCTCCCATAGATAATATATGTGCAATAGTTCGACTAGCCCGGAACCACTTTAAAATTCATGATCTGCTGACACTTTTCTACGTTTTATAAGCAATTTACATTCCCATAAATTGCGTTTATTTGAACTCTTTTTTTTCAACAATACTATTAGCCAGATTAATTACAATTTCCTTGCGGTAAAATAATTAAAAATTTTGTATAACAAACTAGTCAAGGGGTTGCAGCTTGGAAGTGGTTTACTGCTAAAATATTTATTTTTACGTGTCTGAGATTAGGGAACCATTATGCGCTGTACAATTGTCCATAAATGACAGTATCTTTCGATTTTTAGTTTTCATACTATCATTCAGCATCTGAAGTCATTCTTTAAATAGATCTATTGTCATCCACGCCTTCTTATTGTGTCGGTAAAGCATTGGAAAGCTGCGAATGTTCTTGAAGCATCTTGAATTTGCAGACAAGTTTTTTGTTCTGCATTACGAATTATAGGAGGTTTAATATTTATTGGATTTTAAAAAAATGCGTATTAACGAGAGGATCAAAATGCACGGAAATGTTATGAATTAACGAGGTTTTTCCAACGGCCAACAGTTTGTTACGAATTATTGAGGATAATTATTGAGGATTTCCATTTATCGGGGTACGAATTGTTGCGATTCAATGGGAATTATTTTAATGATGTGCAATTTTATAAGTTTTTTTGTTTAATTGAAAAATAATTAATCACCAACGAAATAGAATAGAAAGCTATTTCTGAACTATTTCCAGACGCTCTCCCTCTCTTTTTCTCCCTCTCTCTCTCTCTCTCTCTTTCTCTCTTGTTCTTTCTCTCTCTCTATCTCTTTATTTCTCAATCTTTCTTTTGTTCAATCTTTCTGTTGCATTTTCTCTTTCTCAGTCTCACGCTTTCTCTATGCCTACATGGAGTAAAAAATCTATACTAGAGTATTTAGTAAGAATTGAAAAAACTATCTTCAAAAAGTACTGGGAAGTGAATTAATATGGAGTTATGATTTTCTTTATAATTAATTTCAAAGTTATGCATATGTTTTTTTTTTTTTTTTGGTTTTTTTTTTAACTAACAATGAACAGTAATTATCAGAACTACATTCAATAATTATATATATTAAGATTACATTATTATTCATGTTAGTATAGAACAAAATATTGGCAATTCTTCAACTTGGTAGGAATATAACGTTTTGGTAGTCTTCAGATTGTTTTTTTTCTGGTTGCTAGTGGGTTTATTCGATTATTTGTGGGATATACTATATAGTATACTAGTAAAACGTAGCATTTATTGACATAAAAGCATTTACATTCTTTGCAATGAATTATGGAGTAATGGCCCAATTAACACAGCTATACCAGATCGTTTTTGCGATAGCTTTTCTAATACTTTTTTTAGAAAAACCTGTAAGAGCAGTAAAAAAAATGTTGACTATCTACTTTTCTTCAAATTTTTGATACTTTCCTAAAATTTCAGTATGAAATTTTAATGTTGGAAAATTATCGATTAGTTCTAGTTCTAGTCTTCGAGTTTTCAATACTTTTTGATGGTTTTAGGACGATAACGATAACGTTTAAGAGTATTAAAAGTTCATGCCGCTTTCAATCTATAAGGTTTTAGTGCTATACTGGAATGCAAGTCTTACAAATAGTTATCTATACAATTTGTCTACCACCTAGTTTCAGTCTTGTTTTTGTAATATTATAATATTTTTAAAGTGGATAGAAATATATAAAGCATTTTATTATAAAAATTTTTATAATTGAATATATAAAGTAGTTTTTAAATAGATCTTTCAATTTGTAAAAATTGTTTAAAAAAAATTTAGTCTAAAATCTTTTTTACACTTATTAAATTTATTCTGAAAAGTCATGTCAAGCGCGTATAATGATCGGTATTACACGGACGATGTCGATGAGTTAATATTTGACGTAGATCCGGGTGAAGTACTTGCTATAGAGAATGGGTACGATGAGCGTCCAACTGGTTATTCAATAATGGGCACACAATTCCTTATGGTTGGAACCACAAGGGTTAGTATAGACGTTCAAATGATTTTTGAAGACAATACCACGAGACTAAACCAATTATCTGAGATGAACCTTGAAATTTGCTACATACTCGACCCTAATAGCAATGCACATGGAACTCATGATGCTGATATTTTATATGATAGTAGTGGTAATGAACGCAGTGCTGCAGAACAGGAAAGGCTCCGACAAGAAATTGATGACCAGTTGGATGACAATAGCAGAAGATTCAATAATGCTTACTTCAAAACGTTCGTAATCATCCCAACGGTTGATGAAAAATTGAAGAAACGTACTTGTTATACTTTTATTACTGAACACATTGCTATCGATGTTAAGGTTAAACAAGACGATTGCAATGTACTTCCTTCAGTAAAGTTAATTGTTTACGATCTGATAGTTCATAGCGATCCAACCACCGTTTATCGAGCAGCTGGTTCAATAAGTGGAGGAATGCAAACTGCAATGCTATCAACAAATGTTATCACTCCACCACTTTGGAATGAAGTTCGTCAAGGTAATTTCTTTCCTTTTTCTTAAAAATGTCGATAATTGATTTCAATTTAAAATATCTTAAATGTATGTATTCTTCTTTTTTAATGACAAAATTCATCATTTATTTGCTAATTAAAGCATGTAAGTGGTTTTTAAATTTATGATTTAGTCGAGAAAAAGCCAGATCCGATATTAAGTGAAAGTATTTTATTTTTTTTTGGTTAACTTTTCTCTTAACACTGCAATCTTAACATTGCCTTGACAAGTAATTTAATTTATTTGCTTTTAAGAATAATATATAGTTCATTATGAAGTTATTATCGGAGAATAAGTTTCCAATATCATTTGGTAGTTTAAGTTAAAGTTACTATCGGTAATTCTATAAATCACTTTTACATATTTACATACAACATTATTTCTTTTTTTGTATTGATAAAATAATATTTATTTATTTAATTTATAAAATTTAATATAAAATTGAAACAAATAATTATTTTCAGTAAACTATTCATATTTACACCTTTGGCTATACAGGGTTAGGCCATGAAGTGTTACCAACTACACAGATATGAAAGATATCAGTTTAGATAGATATATAGATATATACTGAATGACAGCTGTTTATATGGTTCTATAAGCTACTACAAGCATTTGTATCTAAGTTTTACTGAACAAAAGTTATTTGAAAAGAAATTCAAACGTAATAGTGTGATTGCGTTTAATTTGGCTGGAATATTACAATCAGCTGTAGTTCGTGAGCTCAAACACCTCAAAGTGCATAAAATGTTGGTGCATCGTACCATAAGCCATTCTTATAGTTCAGGCACCGTTGCCAATGGTCCAACGCTATGGTGGTAATTCAGAAAGTGAACGCTCGACTTGAACAAAGTTCACGTCGTTGTGAAGCATTCAAGGCATATTCCAAATATTCCACAATGTGCTTAACGTAAAGCCTTACAAGTTCCAAAAGGCACAAAATCTTACACCAAAGCAACAAAAAGATAGATCCGAAAGAGCAAAAGAGTTGTTACGCTTTTCATGTGGAAAATTTTCAAAGACTGTGTTCTCTAATGAGAAAAATTTCTCCATTGAGCAGTTCATAAACTGTGAAATTGATCGTGTTTACTGAACCCACTGCCACCCGAAGTAATTTTCCATCTCAAGTAATGATATGGGCAGCTGTGATCGCTGATGAACGCTCTGCAATCGCTTTCATTGAGCCTGGTGTCAAAGTCAATGGGTGTTCCAAAAAGACTTTAGCACCGTCTCATAAAGTATCATCTCGTGTAAACCAAAAATATTTAAAAAATCATCTTCCACACTTTATTTCATCCACAAAATGGCTTTCGAATGCGCCAGATGCAAATCCGATAGACTATTTCATCTTAATCATTTTGAAGAGGTGGAGAGGAAGGTGAGGACTGAAAAATATGCCGTGAAGCATGCAACTCATTTTTAACCGTTTGAAGGCTATAGTCAATGAATGGATTCTGAAATTTTGATTATTTGCAGAAGTTTTCGTAATTTGAATTAATAAAAAACAATTTTAAACAAAAAAGATATGGTCGCTTGAATAGGTAACACTTCAATCGCTTGACCCTGTATATACAAACTTATTCATAAAGAAGTAAATTTTAACAACTCTATCCTTACCAAGCATGACTTCGTAATACTGAAACAGACATATTATAGTGTTTCATAGACTTTCTAATGAATTGAATAATTTTGACAATAATTTTTGTTTTTGTAGTTTTAGTTTATATAAACAAATTAACGCAAATTTAAGTGTTAGTCTATTTTATATTGAATTATTTTTCCTTTTCCAAACTAAAAATTGTTTTACATATTTTTAAAAACGAATCAATATTTGTTATGATGTTATTGTTTACCAGCTGAAAATAATCTTTATGTTCTGAATAGATTTTTTTGTATTTTTGTTATATTAATTATATTATAAGGTATTACCCTGCAGGTAATATCAAAAATAATTGAAATATTAGTTTCATTATAAAATTGTTTTTCACAATTAATTATAAAAACACACGTATATTATTTTATATAAAAATATATATAATTTATAAATTATTGTTAATATCAATTATATCAAATTTAGCGCATAATAATAAATAATTTAGCACAAATGATAATAAAATCTATAGTATTTGGCTTCAAAGAATGTAGTATACATTAAGTAATTTTATTTTATTTAATGGTATATATGCTTTCACCTCAGATTTGCCCGAAACTGGCGGAACGGCTTTTGTAGATGAAATCACACGAATGACTTTCGAAGACTATCTTGATGAGTTCTTCACTGATCCTAACGAATCAGTGCAAAGTGATGACAACAACGTTGAGTTATTATATTACAGACTCACTGAACCCAATGACGCTGCTGTTCCGTCTGTTAATGAACTATTTGGTGTTAGTTCTAGAGATGATTTCAATATGTCTTATATGTCTGAGAGCGCTGCATCCTTCAGTGCAAGTAATAACTGAAATATCAAAAAACTATTTCATTGTATTTATTTTTTCCAATACGAAATTTAAACTAGGAAATTACAATAACGCTATTGCAGCCGATGCGTTCATGGGTAGTGTTCGTGGTTCTGATTTAATATTAAGGGAGTCTGATAACAGCTCTCTTATATTGGAAGGTAATACTGAAATATATATACTATTTTGCACATATATATAAACTTATAATTTAATAATCATTAAATAGATATACAAGCTATGTTCCATCTTCCGCGTGATCGTATATTAGAACAAGATAATGGTTTTTATGATAATTCTGATGGGAATGTAGCCTTTATTGATGGTAATACTAATAAAAACTTAACTATTTCTTGTTATTTATGCATCACATATTAAAATTCAATATAGAATACTCTGATGAATCAACTGATGTAAGCATTGAGAATGGAATTTCTATGGTCAACTCTTTATTATTCAAAGGTAATATTAAAAATAACATTATGAAACAATTAATATTCATTATAAATTAGATTCTTCTGCTCCCGTAATTCACGAATCAATTAATGATAATGGTGGCTATAATAACTCTGAAGGTAAAATCAAAAATAATTGTAATATTGCTATAATCATAAAATTATTTTTTAAAAAGAATAAAGATAAACTTTATAAAGCAATTAATATTTATTATAAATTAGATACTTATGCTCCCGTAATTCAAAAATCAATTAATGATATTGGTGGCTATAATAACTCTGATGGTAAGATCAAAAATAATTATAATATTACTTTAATCATAAAATTATTTTTTAAAAAGAAGAAAGATAAACTTTATTAAGCAATTAATATTTATTATATATTAGATACTTCTGCTCCCATAATTCAAGAATCAATTAATGATAATGGTGGCTATAATAACTCTGAAGGTAAAATCAAAAATAATTATAATATTGCTTTGATCATAAAATTATTTTTTAAAAAGAATAAAGATAAACTTTATAAAGCAATTATTATTTATTATAAATTAGGTACTTATACTCCCGTAATTCAAGAATCAATTAATGATAATGGTGGCTATAATAACTCTGAAGGTAAAATCAAAAATAATCATAACATTGCTTTGATCATAAAATTATATTTTAAAAAGAATAAAGATAAACTTTATTAAGCAATTAATATTTATTATGTATTAGATACTTCTGCTCCCGTAACTCAAGAATCAATTTATGATATTGGTGGCCATAATAACTCTGAAGGTAAAATCAAAAATAATTATAATATTGCTTTGATCATAAAATTATATTTTAAAAAGAATAAAGATAAACTTTATTAAGCAATTAATATTTATTATGTATTAGATACTTCTGCTCCCGTAACTCAAGAATCAATTAATGATATTGGTGGCTATAATAACTCTGAAGGTAAGATCAAAAATAATTATAACATTGCTTTGATCATAAAATTATTTTTTAAAAAGAATAAAGATAAACTTTATAAAGCAATTAATATTTATTATATATTAGATACTTCAGCTCCCGTAATTCAAAAATCAATTAATGATAATGGTGGCTATAATAACTCTGAAGGTAAAATCAAAAATAATTATAACATTGCTTTGATCATAAAATTATTTTTTAAAAAGAATAAAGATAAACTTTATAAAGCAATTAATATTTATTATAAATTAGATACTTATACTCCCGTAATTCAAAAATCAATTAATGATATTGGTGGCCATAATAACTCTGAAGGTAAAATCAAAAATAATTATAACATTGCTTTGATCATAAAATTATTTTTTAAAAAGAATAAAGATAAACTTTATAAAGAAATTAATATTTATTATATATTAGATACTTCTGCTCCCGTAATTCAAAAATCAATTAATGATATTGGTGGCCATAATAACTCTGATGGTAAGATCAAAAATAATTATAATATTACTTTAATCATAAAATTATATTTTAAAAAGAATAAAGATAAACTTTATTAAGCAATTAATATTTATTATATATTAGATACTTCTGCTCCCGTAATTCAAAAATCAATTAATGATATTGGTGGCCATAATAACTCTGAAGGTAAAATCAAAAATAATTATAACATTGCTTTGATCATAAAATTATTTTTTAAAAAGAATAAAGATAAACTTTATAAAGCAATTAATATTTATTATATATTAGATACTTCTGCTCCCGTAACTCAAAAATCAATTAATGATATTGGTGGCCATAATAACTCTGAAGGTAAAATCAAAAATAATTATAACATTGCTTTGATCATAAAATTATTTTTTAAAAAGAATAAAGATAAACTTTATAAAGCAATTAATATTTATTATAAATTAGATACTTATACTCCCGTAATTCAAAAATCAATTAATGATATTGGTGGCCATAATAACTCTGATGGTAAGATCAAAAATAATTATAATATTACTTTAATCAAAAAATTATATTTTAAAAAGAATAAAGATAAACTTTATTAAGCAATTAATATTTATTATATATTAGATACTTCTGCTCCCGTAATTCAAAAATCAATTAATGATATTGGTGGCCATAATAACTCTGAAGGTAAAATCAAAAATAATTATAACATTGCTTTGATCATAAAATTATTTTTTAAAAAGAATAAAGATAAACTTTATAAAGCAATTAATATTTATTATAAATTAGATACTTATACTCCCGTAATTCAAAAATCAATTAATGATATTGGTGGCCATAATAACTCTGAAGGTAAAATCAAAAATAATTATAACATTGCTTTGATCATAAAATTATTTTTTAAAAAGAATAAAGATAAACTTTATAAAGCAATTAATATTTATTATATATTAGATACTTCTGCTCCCGTAATTCAAAAATCAATTAATGATAATGGTGGCTATAATAACTCTGAAGGTAAAATCAAAAATAATTATAATATTGCTTTGATCATAAAATTATTTTTTAAAAAGAATAAAGATAAACTTTATAAAGCAATTAATATTTATTATAAATTAGATACTTATGCTCCCGTAATTCAAAAATCAATTAATGATATTGGTGGCCATAATAACTCTGAAGGTAAAATCAAAAATAATTATAACATTGCTTTGATCATAAAATTATTTTTTAAAAAGAATAAAGATAAACTTTATAAAGCAATTAATATTTATTATATATTAGATACTTCTGCTCCCGTAATTCAAAAATCAATTAATGATATTGGTGGCCATAATAACTCTGAAGGTAAAATCAAAAATAATTATAATATTGCTTTGATCATAAAATTATATTTTAAAAAGAATAAAGATAAACTTTATTAAGCAATTAATATTTATTATATATTAGATACTTCTGCTCCCGTAATTCAAAAATCAATTAATGATAATGGTGGCTATAATAACTCTGAAGGTAAAATCAAAAATAATTATAATATTGCTTTAATCATAAAATTATTTTTTAAAAAGAATAAAGATAAACTTTATTAAGCAATTAATATTTATTATATATTAGATACTTCTGCTCCCGTAACTCAAGAATCAATTAATGATATTGGTGGCTATAATAACTCTGAAGGTAAAATCAAAAATAATTATAATATTGCTTTGATCATAAAATTATTTTTTAAAAAGAATAAAGATAAACTTTATAAAGCAATTAATATTTATTATATATTAGATACTTCAGCTCCCGTAATTCAAGAATCAATTAATGATATTGGTGGCTATAATAACTCTGAAGGTAAAATCAAAAATAATTATAATATTGCTTTGATCATAAAAATATATTTTAAAAAGAATAGATATAAACTTTATTAAGCAATTAATATTTATTATATATTAGATATTTCTGCTCCCGTAACTCAAGAATCAATTAATGATATTGGTGGCCATAATAACTCTGAAGGTAAAATCAAAAATAATTATAATATTGCTTTGATCATAAAATTATTTTTTAAAAAGAATAAAGATAAACTTTATAAAGCAATTAATATTTATTATATATTAGATACTTCTGATCCCGTAACTCAAGAATCAATTAATGATATTGGTGGCCATAATAAATCTGAAGGTAAAATCAAAAATAATTATAATATTGCTTTGATCATAAAATTATTTTTTAAAAAGAATAAAGATAAACTTTATAAAGCAATTAATATTTATTATATATTAGATACTTCTGCTCCCGTAACTCAAGAATCAATTAATGATATTGGTGGCCATAATAACTCTGAAGGTAAAACCAAAAATAATTATAATATTTCTTGGATCATAAAAATATATTTTAAAAAGAATAAAGATAAACTTTATTAAGCAATTAATATTTATTATATATTAGATACTTCTGCTCCCGTAACTCAAGAATCAATTAATGATATTGGTGGCCATAATAACTCTGAAGGTAAAATCAAAAATAATTATAATATTGCTTTGATCATAAAAATATATTTTAAAAAGAATTAAGATAAACTTTATTAAGCAATTAATATTTATTATATATTAGATACTTCTGCTCCCGTAACTCAAGAATCAATTAGTGATATTGGTGGCTATAATTACTCTGAAGGTAAAATCAAAAATAATTATAACATTGCTTTGATCATAAAATTATTTTTTAAAAAGAATAAAGATAAACTTTATAAAGCAATTAATATTTATTATATATTAGATATTTCTTCTCCCGTAACTCAAGAATCAATTAATGATATTGGTAGCTATAATAACTCTGAAGGTAAAACCAAAAATAATTATAATATTGCTTTGATCATAAAAATATATTTTAAAAAGAATAAAGATAAACTTTATTAAGCAATTAATATTTATTATATATTAGATACTTCTGCTCCCGTAACTCAAGAATCAATTAATGATAATGGTGGCTATAATAACTCTGAAGGTAAAATCAAAAATAATTATAACATTGCTTTGATCATAAAATTATATTTTAAAAAGAATAAAGATAAACTTTATTAAGCAATTAATATTTATTATGTATTAGATACTTCTGCTCCCGTAACTCAAGAATCAATTAATGATATTGGTGGCTATAATAACTCTGAAGGTAAGATCAAAAATAATTATAACATTGCTTTGATCATAAAATTATTTTTTAAAAAGAATAAAGATAAACTTTATAAAGCAATTAATATTTATTATATATTAGATACTTCAGCTCCCGTAATTCAAAAATCAATTAATGATAATGGTGGCTATAATAACTCTGAAGGTAAAATCAAAAATAATTATAACATTGCTTTGATCATAAAATTATTTTTTAAAAAGAATAAAGATAAACTTTATAAAGCAATTAATATTTATTATAAATTAGATACTTATACTCCCGTAATTCAAATCAATTAATGATATTGGTGGCCATAATAACTCTGAAGGTAAAATCAAAAATAATTATAACATTGCTTTGATCATAAAATTATTTTTTAAAAAGAATAAAGATAAACTTTATAAAGCAATTAATATTTATTATATATTAGATACTTCTGCTCCCGTAACTCAAAAATCAATTAATGATATTGGTGGCCATAATAACTCTGAAGGTAAAATCAAAAATAATTATAACATTGCTTTGATCATAAAATTATTTTTTAAAAAGAATAAAGATAAACTTTATAAAGAAATTAATATTTATTATAAATTAGATACTTATACTCCCGTAATTCAAAAATCAATTAATGATATTGGTGGCCATAATAACTCTGATGGTAAGATCAAAAATAATTATAATATTACTTTAATCAAAAAATTATATTTTAAAAAGAATAAAGATAAACTTTATTAAGCAATTAATATTTATTATATATTAGATACTTCTGCTCCCGTAATTCAAAAATCAATTAATGATATTGGTGGCCATAATAACTCTGATGGTAAGATCAAAAATAATTATAATATTACTTTAATCAAAAAATTATATTTTAAAAAGAATAAAGATAAACTTTATAAAGCAATTAATATTTATTATAAATTAGATACTTATACTCCCGTAATTCAAAAATCAATTAATGATATTGGTGGCCATAATAACTCTGAAGGTAAAATCAAAAATAATTATAACATTGCTTTGATCATAAAATTATTTTTTAAAAAGAATAAAGATAAACTTTATAAAGAAATTAATATTTATTATAAATTAGATACTTATACTCCCGTAATTCAAAAATCAATTAATGATAATGGTGGCTATAATAACTCTGAAGGTAAAATCAAAAATAATTGTAATATTGCTTTAATCATAAAATTATTTTTTAAAACGAATCAAGATAAACTTTATTAAGCAATTAATATTTATTATATATTAGATACTTCAGCTCCCGTAACTCAAGAATCAATTAATGATATTGGTGGCCATAATAACTCTGAAGGTAAAATCAAAAATAATTATAACATTGCTTTGATCATAAAATTATTTTTTAAAAAGAATAAAGATAAACTTTATAAAGCAATTAATATTTATTATATATTAGATACTTCTGCTCCCGTAACTCAAAAATCAATTAATGATATTGGTGGCCATAATAACTCTGAAGGTAAAATCAAAAATAATTATAACATTGCTTTGATCATAAAATTATTTTTTAAAAAGAATAAAGATAAACTTTATAAAGAAATTAATATTTATTATAAATTAGATACTTATACTCCCGTAATTCAAAAATCAATTAATGATAATGGTGGCTATAATAACTCTGAAGGTAAAATCAAAAATAATTGTAATATTGCTTTAATCATAAAATTATTTTTTAAAACGAATCAAGATAAACTTTATTAAGCAATTAATATTTATTATATATTAGATACTTCAGCTCCCGTAACTCAAGAATCAATTAATGATATTGGTGGCTATAATAACTCTGAAGGTAAAATCAAAAATAATTATAACATTGCTTTGATCATAAAATTATTTTTTAAAAAGAATAAAGATAAACTTTATAAAGCAATTAATATTTATTATATATTAGATACTTCAGCTCCCGTAATTCAAGAATCAATTAATGATATTGGTGGCTATAATAACTCTGAAGGTAAAATCAAAAATAATTATAATATTGCTTTGATCATAAAAATATATTTTAAAAAGAATAGATATAAACTTTATTAAGCAATTAATATTTATTATATATTAGATATTTCTGCTCCCGTAACTCAAGAATCAATTAATGATATTGGTGGCCATAATAACTCTGAAGGTAAAATCAAAAATAATTATAATATTGCTTTGATCATAAAATTATTTTTTAAAAAGAATAAAGATAAACTTTATAAAGCAATTAATATTTATTATATATTAGATACTTCTGATCCCGTAACTCAAGAATCAATTAATGATATTGGTGGCCATAATAAATCTGAAGGTAAAATCAAAAATAATTATAATATTGCTTTGATCATAAAATTATTTTTTAAAAAGAATAAAGATAAACTTTATAAAGCAATTAATATTTATTATATATTAGATACTTCTGCTCCCGTAACTCAAGAATCAATTAATGATATTGGTGGCTATAATAACTCTGAAGGTAAAATCAAAAATAATTATAATATTGCTTTGATCATAAAATTATATTTTAAAAAGAATAAAGATAAACTTTATTAAGCAATTAATATTTATTATGTATTAGATACTTCTGCTCCAGTAATTCAAGAATCAATTAATGATATTGGTGGCTATAATAACTCTGAAGGTAAAATCAAAAATAATTATAATATTGCTTTGATCATAAAAATATATTTTAAAAAGAATAGATATAAACTTTATTAAGCAATTAATATTTATTATATATTAGATATTTCTGCTCCCGTAACTCAAGAATCAATTAATGATATTGATGGCCATAATAGCTCTGAAGGTAAAATCAAAAATAATTATAATATTGCTTTGATCATAAAATTATTTTTTAAAAAGAATAAAGATAAACTTTATAAAGCAATTAATATTTATTATATATTAGATACTTCTGCTCCCGTAACTCAAGAATCAATTAATGATATTGATGGCCATAATAGCTCTGAAGGTAAAATCAAAAATAATTATAATATTGCTTTGATCATAAAATTATTTTTTAAAAAGAATAAAGATAAACTTTATAAAGCAATTAATATTTATTATAAATTAGATACTTCTGCTCCCGTAATTCAAGAATCAATTAATGATATTGGTGGCCATAATAACTCTGAAGGTAAAATCAAAAATAATTATAATATTGCTTTGATCATAAAATTATATTTTAAAAAGAATAAAGATAAACTTTATTAAGCAATTAATATTTATTATAAATTAGATACTTCTGGTCCCGCAATTCAAGAATCAATAAATGATATTGGTGGCCATAATAACTCTGAAGGTAAAATCAAAAATAATTATAATATTGCTTTGATCATGAAATTATTTATATTTTAAAAAGAACAAAGATAAACATTATAAAACAATTAATATTTATTATAAATTAGATACTTCTGGTCCCGCAATTCAAGAATCAATAAATGATATTGGTGGCCATAATAACTCTGGAGGTAAAATCAAAAATAATTATAATATTACTTTGATCATAAAGTTATTTTTTAAAAGCAATAAAGATAAACTATATAAAGCAATTAATATATTATAAATTAGATGCTCCAGCTCCCGTAATTCAAGAATCAATTAATGTTAATGGTGGCCATAATAACTCTGGAGGTAAAACCAAAAATAATTATAATAATACTTTGAATATAAAATTATTTGCTAAAAATAATAAAAAGATAAACATGCTGCTCAACAGAATTCTATCAGTCATGATTTTAGTCTTAGTTATATGTACAACCACAGTTTTCATAGTTTTGGTTATGATACGATATGCCAGAATTTTCTAGAGAGTGGTAGGGCTAAGTATATCTACGGTGCTAATTTCTCGTGGCTAACCACCATTGTGGTCGAGGTATTGTCATTGAACAGTATACTGTGGACATGTGTTTGTAAACATGATTTGGTTATGAGAGCATGACAGTGACAAAGCTACAGGTTGGTTGAGATATTGGAGGTTTGAGCCCAAAGAAAAATGTGTAGATTGATAATTCTTCTTACACTGGTGATCAAATAATTAAAAGTCATAAAACTATTAATGATAAGCAAACATTAACATTAATAAGACATTAGTTTTGTCGTCCACTTTTTCACACAATCATTACACACTACTATGAATATACCTGAAAATTTGAAACTTCTTTCAACTAAATTTACTGGCAATAATATATAAAATAAATTGTGTTATAATATTTATTTTTCACGTATCAGATCAGAATGAAACTCCTCCTTTGAGACGTGATCTAAATAAATTAACTGAAGTGAGCGGTGCAAAGTACAGTAATTTTGAGAATTCTCTGTTCTTCAATGAACGAGACATTGATAACATTTTGGAAGAAAATAATATTTCTGAAACAATAACTGAAGTAGCTCAAACTGATGATGGTTCAATTGATAGTATTCCGACACCCGGTGACTCAATTGATATGCATAATAACGTATGCATTTCATGGCATAACCAAAACACTTCAACTGGTGACCTTAATGAGGACATTAAGGTTTCTGCTGGGAAGCCCAAATGCACTTGATAATTAAATTTTAAAATTTTAAAATTCAGTTTTAATTTTTTATTGTTTAAAAAAAAAAAATTTGAAAAATTTCTGATTTTTTATTTAAAATTTTGCAAAAAGTGTATGCAGTTTAAATAAAATGAAAGTTAATAAATAATTATGCATTCTAAATGCATAAAAAACAGATAATTACGCATCTAATTAATTAGTTTTAAATTTTTTTATTGTGTATTAACAATTAATTGAGTTTTATTTATTAAAATTCTGAAACTAATAGATTTATTTTTAATCGAAATATAATCATTTCTGTACTCCTCTTAAATTTTGACACCTCTCCTGTATGAAGATTTAATTTTTGAAACCATAAGTAAAGGCGTTGTACTCAAAGCTAACTTGGACTGAAATAATGGCCCATTATGATACCAAAAGGCTAGTAAAAAGACCTACTATATGTTGATGTGGAAGAGATGAAACAATATACAATATTTGAATATAGTCTCGTATCTGTTATCTAATTAACTTAATCTTAAACTAATAATTGTAGTCAAGGCGTAAAAGTGAAATAAAACAATTGCTTTGCCAGGCAATATATTACATCCAATTGTCTTTTAATTTAAAATAAAATATAAATGTAAGTAAATACATGTATGCTTATTAATATTATTAGCGTTGTTTTGCAACATAAATGTATCGTATTAACTTGTTATTAGAGACAATGTTAAGTGTTGCAACACGTTAAAACTGTTGTCATATAAATGTCATTTGTTTGCATTAAATCCGAGCCCATCATATTGCATATAATCAGACAATGTTAACATGTCAAGTAAAGCGCATTTATTTTCAAAGCCTTTCTCCATTTCACACACACACACAAATACATGCTAACAATGAAAAAAAAAAACAAATACCATTCAACAGCGCCACATGTGGTTGCCTTCATATGAAATTACATAAAACAGCAGCACACATAGAATATCACCTTTTTAACATAGCAGCAATAATTCATGTTGTTGCTGTTGCTGCTGTTGCTGCGACTAATGATGAGCCCCATAGACGCACACAACCGCTCGAGAGCGTACATGTATATCCACATGCTATATGTCACAAAGCAAAACCCTATGAAGTTTATAAAAACGCTGTTGGAATGGCTGAAAACAAGTAAGCAACATGTGGCACGCCAGTACAGGGTCATGTCAATAGAAGTGTTGGGTTTGAAGCAAAAATTGCAGATATATCCACTGAAATCGGCTCACATATCTTATTGAATTATTCAATTAAATAAATTCTTTAATTGAATTATTTGAGTTTCCTTTAGAAGTTCTAGCAATTCTGATCTAAACTAGATGACGTGTCACCATGTATGCTCAAATAAATAAGGCAAGGTAATTGTATGACTGCATTAAGCATTAATTAACCTTTTCAGAGTAAAATAATAATTTATTTCGTGTCATAAAATATAACCAAAAAAGGACTTTAGTTTTTGGACGAAAAATAATTTGCACTAATACGGAACTTTTTACCCTTTCTCCAGGTATCTGGTAATTTACTAAACTTAAAGCGAACTTTTTTAAACAACCTCTACTCACATGTTTTATATTAAATGAACTATAGTTGTAAGCAAGTCATACAGTCTCTTTAAAATCTATAAAAATGTTTTAAGGCCTTTTAAACCACAATGTGCCCCAGCTCCGATGAGACAAGTCCTGTAAAGTTCTTAGTGCGGACATATTTTTGAGTGAATAATGGTAAGTGTACACTATACACTTTAGTGTCCATGCTTAACACTTCACTGTGACTTGATATTTTCTGTAATGTCTTTTTGTTTATGTGACGAGATATATAAGTCCAAAATATAATAGGAAATAAAAACCGAATATTGAATTCTGTTTTCACTTATAAAAGCGGCACACAAACATAGAAAATGCGAAAAAAATGTACATGGAAAAGAATGCATACAAATAGTTTTTCATTGGTTCTATGATGATCGGGACGCTCTTGAAAATAAAGAAATTCATTGACAAAAGCCATATGCTAATACGAGAATAACGTAAAAGTCCAAAAAAATATTTAAAACTGACGATTAGACTCATCGAAGATATAAGTAAGGCATCAAAACTTAAGGTCCGTGTGCGCTACATATCACACAAATCAACCACCAACCAATTTTGTGGGTTGGAAACTTCACAACATTGGAAAGACACACTAAAAATGTCAAGCACATCAGTCTTGTGATGTTAGTTGCTTTTCCAATATATATACTGAAAACTTAACGCCAGGGTTTGCCAAGGAAATCGCCAAAAAGTGAGAAAACTGAGAGTCTTCGGCATTTATTAACAATAATTAGGGGTCTTAATTCGACGATTTTAACTGGTATGTTAAGAACCAAGTAGTTGATCTTTATTTTTCGAAATCATGCTATCTCACCAAGCCACTATGGTGTGTACATTTTTCATCAAGAAAGGCATTCCTGTTGTCTGTCATCCTACGTATTCAACAGATATGGCTCGGTATGGCTTTTAAATCTGCAGAGCACTCTGCACACTCTATTTTGAAAGAATATATGATTAAGGTTAAAATTAAGAAACAGAGCACTAAGGCCATATGCACAAATTACTCAAGCACCCCAATAACTCAGAAAAGTAGTGTCTTAATAAGACACTACGTAAAAAGTTGAAGTAAAAATTATTTCATGCTCATTAATTCGACTACAAAAAGTCTTAGTTAAGGATTGTTTAAAATGAACATGGAAAAATTGTATTCGGTATTTACACATTTCTTTTTATATAACCGAACTATAAAACTTGTTGTCTTAAAAGATAATATCTAATACTTCATACTTCATATCTATATACATCTTAAATCTATATCTATGTTGCAATTAACGCATTTTTTCTGTTTTGATATAGTAAATAAACAGAATACTAGTTTCAAGATTTAAGTAATGATTATTAGTGTCCAACAGACAAATCCAAAAAACACTATCTGTGTCAACTGCCAGATTAATCTAACTTAATTTAATCTCGTGCATTTTGATTTGTTGATTTTTCATTAGTAAGTAATGGTATTGGGAGGGTTGTAGGCTTGAAACTTGTCCCACTACGATAAGTGCAAACGTAATGTCCACACCATTCCCCTTTATAACCGCACCATTCCCCTTTCGTGACCTCGTTCCGAAAGTTTATCGCTAGCCTTAACCTCGCGTGTGTGGTTTAACCCCACTCCCTTCACACTCACCCTACCTCCCTAATTTACGTCCTTGCTTTCTGACTTAGATGAATCTAGCTAGCTAGATGTTAAACCTATCTGTACACATCTCTCTGCCCTGATTACTGGAATGAAGTTTTCTCAATGCTGTTTAAATCTTCTCTTTTCATTCCTAAGAGGTAGTTGTAGTGGGTTCAAGTCTCGCACTGTGACTTTCGATGCTTTGGGGATTTTATTCTACATCCCCAAATCGTTATCCCATTTTGGTGTCCTTGTAGCTAAGTACTAAAACGGATACAATTTAATAAATTTTCTTAAAATTATTCAAAAATCGATGTCGGTTCGAAGTTTGATACTTTTGATACTCTGGTATAAATAATTTATTAAAGTTTTTGTGCATTATTTTAAGAATAATTATAGTTTTATCAGTCGATTTAAAATCATCTTCTCTCATCTTGTTAATATATATTTCCAGTGTCTAAAAACTAGAAACATATACAGTGAAAGTTGTCATACAATTCTTCTACACAGATTTCACTGAATTACAATTAAAAACTGTAAGTATTGCAAATACAGCTTTAGGGTACTTTAACTATACCCTGTATACTTAGTGCAAGGCAACGATCGGTCTATCTTTCTCAATTGGTCCTCTGTACTTATACTACTAAATATAAAAATATGAATCTAATTGTCGTTGGAACTGCAATCAACCTCTTCTACTACTTCTACTACAACCCTCTCTCTCTCACTCTCTCTCTTATTCTTATCTCCCAGTGGAGCATAGGGCCTCTACCATGTTTTTATATCGTATTCGGTTATTTGATTCACGGCATATGTCACTTCAGGAATAGTTCGCTTTTCTTAGTTTTTCTTCAATTGTTCTTTTTCTCTACAATCTTACTTCTACCTAATTCAAGATTTAAACTAATAAATAATAGGGAATAAACTTTTGCCCTATAAGAAAAATTTCCTTATACTGTGCATGTGTACCTATTATGAAATTTGTGAATTAGAAAATTGTGAAAAAATGCATTCAATCGATTTTCACACCTGCACTGCCGTCTCGGTAAGAGTGTTGCGATAAAAACAGGCTGACTAAGCAAATCCCTATTGCAATTTGTTTTTAGGTGACTGATTAACATCCTATCCTATCCGTACAATCGGAAGCACAACAAATTTCTGGTGCGTGTTTTGAATGTAGTCTCAAGCGTAAAAATTCTCGAGAAGGTTACTTTAAATAAAAAAAATTAATAAGACTCCAAAGGAATACATAAACAAAACAAATAGAAAAGAAATTAAAAAAACTAATGCAAAAATAGGATTTGTATTAGATCCACAAAGTATGGCCTTGACTCTTGCTGTTCCGTTGCTCATGCATAAATGGAGCATATGCTGTCATGTGTGGTAATGTCGTTATTATAACCTTTTGTTCTTGGATTATACTTTAAGATTAAAGAGAAACTAATTTGCTTTTTGTTATTTTAAGGATAATTTTAGTGTTCAGCATAGCATATACTGATATACAAATATTAATCAAGTTGCTTATGTTTTGCTTTCTTATGGGTGCACTTTCAAATTCAAAAGTGAAATATTAAAATAAAATTGGGTTCATATTATTCAGCAAAAGAAGGAAACACATAGACTATTGACCAATTTTTTGACACACTTATGATTATATATATCGTTTTAATTAAACATTTTCTAAACTTCATTGTATTTTCTTAAACGTATGTAAAATATGTATTGAGTTCAGATAATTAAGCGTTAAGTAAGAGAAACTCATATACACTTGACAATACTTCTATAGTATTTAA